TTAAGAAGTATAAGAAACATATTAACTGTATTTTAACCTAGACGTAATTCCACTACTTTGTCAATGATAATTCTCTAAATACTATAAATGTATACATTTTTTTCTTTTTATATACATATAATTTACTCATAACACGAATCCAGCTCATTCGTCTTCAAACATATTTATTATTTATGCTTATATAGGATGAGCTTGCAAACATGTTATTATTATCTTGTCTTAAACTATTACTTTTGTTGTTTGTTTGCTAAATAAATATATTATTATTATTATTATATAAATCATTAATAGCTAGATCCATATTAAATTGAACTTTATCAAAAGGGATAGAATCGTCATTATCAGATTGCATTACTAWATTACCAATGTAGTCGTTATTTTGAGGAGACTGGGGAGATTTACAATTTAGTTGTTCATCATAGTTTAAGAGATCAGGTTTAGGGGCATGCTTGCTTATCATATGTCTTTTACAACTTCTCTTACAACTTCCCTCGCAACATTTGTAGGCACTATTATCAGATTTAAGTAAATTAAATATTCTAAAATAGGTCATCAAGGTTTTCCAGTTAGAAACATTCATAAATAACAAAAAAGCGGGTAAGTGGATGTCGCTCTGCTGTACATTAGGGGATGGGGAGGACGTCTGACTAGGTTAGGTTAAATTTGAATGCAATGATAGGTGTCATTGTATACGAAAAACGATTCTGAATGGAGATGATTTGTCAGTCTAGGATAATATATTATATTTAAATATTGTCATATATTCTATTTTGAAACAAATATTTTATTTTTCAATTAGGACGCATTTTGCATAAGGAATGGTTAATCAATTTTTCCAAAAACATTGCACGTAGTTATCAGAATTCATAATAGGTACCTTATATTATACATATATACCTGGTTTGAGGATAAATCGTTATCATTACGCGATTTCATAAAAATTTAAAACTCAAACGCTAAAAACATATTTCCTATAATGATGCTTCGAGTTTTCTCTATAGCTACTTGAAGTAAAACTTAAGGAAAACTTAGTGTTGTATTTTTAATCCTTAGTTATAAACACAAAATTTTTTATGATTTTTCAACTTCAGAAT